GAATATTTTCGCAAAGAAAAATCTAACAAGTTTCCTCACAGCACACTACAAAAGAGCATTAAAGTGACCGCAAGACACGCTTTTTTAGTGCAGAAAACATTTTTTTTATTAACTGCGCTTTGAGTGTGGGGTGTACGAGTAATTGTGGGCGTGGGTGGATTTGGGTGCGCATTTCAGATTCCTTAGCTACCCACACCCTTTACTTTATCTTTAATAAACGAATATTTTTCTCATGATATGGCATGAGCACACAGACAGGAATACTATGAAGTTGGTCATGTTAATTTTTTAATTTATTGGTAGAGAAATTGAAACACTGAGAATATATGATTATTTTTCTTCAAATGATGATATATTCAATATATCGATTGTAACTATTTCTTTTTAGGATACAGATAATTTTTTAAAAAAACTATTCTTAAAGAAAAGGAAAATAAAGATAAAAATGTAACTGATATACAATCGGTACATTAGTCAATAGTCACTTTACTTGTGCGCAATTGATTCGTGTTAAATCACTTATGCAATTGTTCGTCTCATTTATTAATTATTCATATTGTATTATCAATGTATTAAGATTCGGAAAATGTGTGTTTATATGACACAGAAATTGAAGAGCATAATCAATGTATATATCAATGAGATCGAGTCTAGTCAAAATATGAATATTTAATAACTGAAGAGATTTGTTTGTCATTAACTATTTTAATTTCACGTTTATTTTCTTGTGATGTCAAATTATAGAGTGTGAAATATTTCAGTAAGAGAAGTGTTCCAGCAATTCATTAAAAAAAATCATGTTCAAATGAACATATATCGTACAATTTCAAATCATTAACAAACCGAGAATGTTTATCAAAAACAAAATTAGCAACACACGTAATACGTGTCATTTTTGACTATTGTAGTATAAATATGAGCAACACCAAGTTGATTTGACAAATAATATACACAACAATTAACTGAAGAATATTTCCAATCAATAAATGTCATTTGAATATCAGTATCTGATAACAATTGGTTTGTATTAGAAGTGGAAATTGTTGCACAAAATATGAAATTTAAATGAACTTAGTTTTGGCATATGAATAAGAACTTGTTTATCAAGATGAATACCATCAATGAATCTCTCTCGTTTCATAAAAAGACGTAAAGTAAGATCTTTCAAATTTGGCATGCGACGAAGAAGTGGTTGAATTTGGTCGTCATAATGATTTGTAAGTGAATCACTAGTTAAAGAAAATTCCGTTAAATTTGGTAACATATTCTACAAAAAAAAAATTCATCATTAAAAAATCTATTAACAATTTTAAATTCAGATAAAATGAATTTTCGATTAAGTTTACTTACCATGTTGACAGTGACTAGTGATCATTTGTAAATAGATTTAATATTTACAGTAAATGATGATAATTGATTGATACGACCATCAAGTAAACAAAGACAATCATCGAAACTTGCCACATTAACAAATAAAGATCGTAATTGTGAAGAGAAACAAGTATTTGAAGGTTGATCATACAATATGAATTGCGTACATTTACTATTACTCAATCGATTCGCACCAAAAAAGATTAACTTTTTGCATACAGAAAAAAGACGTGTACATCCCTCTGTAAATAATGTATTCGACGATTCTTCTAAAAAATTCACATCGTGCAATAGAGTTACATTGGAAAACAGATATTATCATAGGTTGATGATTCAAGAGCGTCACATACCTGCTAAATACTTATAAACAGTATACGGTGAACAATTTATAATACTGATCATACGAATATTAGAATATTGACCAGTGAGGAGAATGTCTTCCATCCATCGTTGATCAACAATAAGTACTTCTAAGTTTTGATGTATTTGAGGTAATATATGATTGCAAAATCGATTAATTATAGGATAATGAACTGACAAAAATTGATGATCCGATGATATACTTGAGAAGTCTAAAGATTTAGTGTGAGTGAGACTTCTTGCCATTTTATCGAGTCGTTTGTTCACTTCCAACAATGAATAAAGGACATCAATAGAACAAAGTTTTTTCATAATAATAAGTAGAATTTCATCAGGTAAATCAAGCAATTGAACAGCCTCATGTTCCATATTACATAAATGTCGAATTGACTGACGTTCCTCCTTCGATACTTAGTATTTATCCCACGTCTAATGCTGTCCGCAACGTGAACAGTGCATTGTTCTTTATCGTTCTTCAGAAAACGAACATATGCAATACGATGAAAATCTCTACCTATTGGTTACACAGTCGACTGAACTGCGGACGACTAAGTTATCTTTTCTTTTTTCTATTCTGTATTAGAAATTTTGACACGATCACTTTATACGACGTAACTTTGTTCAGAGTGTAATATACGACGGCAGCACTGATATACACGAGACAATAAAAAGCGACAAGCGCACCAACAAATAAAAAAAGAGCAAAAAAAAATAATGTGTCAAGTTTGATAATTGTTAGTAAAAGATGAAAAAGTCATTTGTGAATAGTTTCATAAGATGTTCATTGAGACTAGTGTGTATCTACGTATCCATGAGTTTTTATAACTTTTGGATTCAATTATTAATTGAGTTGAAATAGTCTTTATTGAGCTAATTAACTTGTGCTTCAATGTCGAAAAGAAAGGTTTGAATCATATGTATATTTTCGCTTATCATACTAGCCCAAAATTTGATGTAACTTAGAGAAAAAGAAAAATATTAGCAAAAAGCATGGTAGCGATCTTATTTGTCGTGAAAAATTAAATATGTCTAACAAGCGTAATCTTATTGAGTTATATACAGAAAGATGCAGTTTTTCACGGACTATCTCCTGATACTAAAAGATTTTTGGGAATAAATTGCTCTGATACACTTTTAGCGCAAAAACATAAAAAAATTTCATAAAAAAAAATGACTATTTTTACGTATTTTTTGAGTACAACATAATACATTAAGACTTCTTTAGACACGATTTATATTTGAGAATCTTGTTCTATGATGGTGCATTTAACAGATCTGATCAAGATACGTTAATTGATACTAAAAAAGAAGGATCTTTAATAGTAACATATGTGGTTATAATGTGTTAACTAAAAAACTGTACAATTCATCAAAATTTTCGAAGATTTATAAAATAATACCTAGGAAATCGGTTCAAAGGTCCCTTCGTATTTCGTGACAGGGTTTTCAGAAAAAGCTAAAAATTTGGTTTTAAGCGAAAATTTTAACACTCTTTCGAATGGTTTAACTCATTTCAAAATACAAAATTTTTCAAATGCCGGTATTCTTATGTATTAGTCGATTTTCTCGTGGACCCTTTCTTAATATCTATTCCACTTAAATAGTGTCCTTAAGTTTGCCAATAACTTATCATGAAAATGATTTTATTCCTGTTAAAATATGTTTTTTATCCCATTGATATATTGGAAAAACAGCATGCTACTACAGAATCGCAGAAAAGTATCACAGTATGATTAAATCTCAATGACAACAACACTTTTTGTTGAACTAAAGATCATTAATATTCGGTTCAACTGATTGGCGAATGATTTTTAACTCTACACATTTATGTTGCTAATGTCACTCCCCAGCTCAAAGAATTAGATGTAAGATCTGTGGACCAGATAAAGTCGTACGAAAAACATAGAAAAAATCGTGGTGTCTGCAAGTAGTCAGATCTTCAAAGGATTCTATGCAAGAGTTGATGTAAGTTTTTCAAACACCACACTTTTTTGTACGATTTCGTTCTGATCTTAAAAGATCAGAGGTACAATTTTTTAAGATCCTGCTGCCTAATTGTTTGACCTGAGTCTCACTGATCTAGTTATCATCTTTCATACATTTCTAGCTGTTATTGTACTTGTTCATATACTGATTCTTTTCTACAAATTAACGCCAAACAACCAACGCCAATAAGCTAGGTTTAAAGCTTCTTTGCTGCATTTGTTTGGTCACTGCTGCAGACTTGGAAAATAATTTCGTAGTCAGAAAGTATTAATCGAACAACCTATTGGAAGCTCACATTATGACAATTCTGTTTATAGCTTGAATATCTATCAAAATATAACCCTCTTGCAATCGACATCGAATGCTGAGCGAGAAAATTATTTTAAGTAACACATTAACAAGAAACTGTCCCCTAGAGAATGTACCGAGTTAAGGGTACCCGAAAAAGTACCCTGTTACCAGTATGTCACAGGAACTTTTGGGTACCAAAGTACTTGGAAGTACTTTTAGGTACCTAAGTGGTACTTGGACAAGTACCCTGCTACAAAATGTGTAGTAACTGGGTACCTGAAGGTACTGATCAGATACTCAATTGGGTACTATTGTATAGTATTTCTAGGTACCCTGTTTCAAAAATTTCAGTATGTTCAGGATCGAATCTGACTTTGAATTTTTTTTAATTTTTGTTTCTCTCAAAGCAATTTACTACATTCTTTTTTCGATTTTATTCAATTTAATTTTTTCAATTCCGAAAACTTAGCAGGTACAATGCCAAGATCTGACCCGACTTCAGTTGGTCAGGTATCCACCAGACCCCTTCAGAATAGTCTGCTCTTGATCTACGATCAAGATCGACATGTTCTCGACTAAGAAATAGTCAAGAAATAATCTAGAAAAAATTAGTATGAAAATAGATTAATTTCTTATGTCTTACCCAGTTGTTTATATGGAGCCGTGTGTGAAAAAGAAAACGGTGAATGAATAGTCGCTACACAGAACGCGACAAATATAGGGTACCCTGTATAGCTTTCCTCAGTAAAATTACAGATGCGAGTACCCATACAAGTACTTGTTCAGTAAGCATAGTTTTATGGGAACCACACGCAGTACCTACATCAGTATAATTACTGAGAATTTTTGAAGTACCCATATTGGGTACCCTGCTAGGGCTTTCTCAGTACATGGGTACCCTGAACTCAGTACTTTCTCTAGGGTCGCTTATTGGTTTCAGTCAATCTTGTCAATTTTTAAACAAATGCCATTTTCTTTCTATAAGCACTCCCATATCAAGAAAATGATTATAATTGAATAAAAATGTAATTCATAAATATAATTGTTTTTGGCAATTCTTATTAGATCCATATTCGAATACGACTAACTGACGTTGGCTCTCTGACAATTACACATTTTGATGGTAAATGATCAGTTAACCATTGAATAAATTCATCTTTGTTTGATGTATTTTCGTCACAAAATTCATCATCATTCATTAATAACCGTATACCTTCAGAATTGTTCTCATCTTCACATTGAACATGTAATGCTCGAAGATTCATCATGTTTTTACAAAGAATAATAATAATACTTTCACGAGTTTTCACTTGAATAGCAAGTACTTCACATGAGACACCTAATGGTGATCGACTCAATGTAATACATTCCTCCTCATTGTAATAATAATTACACTCGCACAAATTAAACCGACGAACTGATACGTTTCTGTATGTGAATAATGACATTTGTAAAGGTACTGATATATCTTAACTAATAATTAGTGTGACAAGATGAAGTATAGGCTCTTGGGACATGAAAACTCAATGAAAATTTGACTTCTTATATACCATTCGATGCGCCTTAAAATTCTCTGCAAAATCATATACAGAACGTTCTTGGTGCAACTAGATCACCAAATCCGGCAGAACCCTTTGGCCTTAGAGCTTTTAGATGATGCTGAATACAATGAGAATATGGAATCAAAAATCTAAATTTTATCGAGTGCTTCGATTCCTGTTACGGTCATTGATGGTCTCATGGGAGCTCTCTTAAATAAATGCTAAGAGAAAAAGCCGCTGTTGATTTTTGACGACCGATACCAATACCAGCTCCTTCGCTACTCTCTGTAGCGCAATACTGTAAAACATTTCTCAAGGTTAGAGGACGGAAGATCGGTTGTAACAAGCAAAGAAACAGATATCCTTTCTTCGTTCTTTGAATGAGAAAATTTTTTTTTTCTACAAAAAAAGGAGAATGAATCTTTTTAGTTATGAAAAGGATGATAAAATAGTATTTTACTTGTTTTACTCGCTGCAATGTCTTTTCCGTTCTTTAATATATGGAAACTTTTAACAGTGTAGACTGCCGCTTGCACTATATATTGTTACGTTGAAAGAGAGAGAAAAAAATTTAAAAAAAAGATGTCGGTTTCCATGGTGCTGCTGCTTTACGAAGGAAGTAGTGTTGAATTATCAATTTATTTTTCTTCTACTTTAATAGTACCTTGTGAAAATAATAACAATTTTTTTGCTATTCCAACCAATCGAATGCTACTTTGAGAAATGAAATGTATAAAAAGAAAAACAAGTAGATTGCATTGCTTTATTTTTAGTTGGAGAAAAAAGAGAATTGGGCTGCTTTAAACAAAGTATTCTCTGTAATATTTATTTTAACAATCAAACATTTGGTGAGTATTGCCACAAATATAAAGTAGGGCATATTTGATGCGAAACGGCGGTTCAATGTGCCTTTCGCATTGAGATATTTACAAAAAGGCTTAAAACTCATTAGATATCGAAAAGCAATGTTTTCCACCGAATATCGCATAATTTCATCTTTAAAGGCTCTATCACTATCAAAATGATATTATTCTTAGTCTCATGCAAAATTGGTCGTAAAAAGAAACTATAACACTCTCGAAAGTATACTGCGGTAGATGAATAGCCTATTCGATCAAAAAAAAAAAGATCATTGATACGATAATGGGTGTGGGTGTGTGGGTGTGGGTATGGGTGTGTGGGTGTGGAGGTGGGGGGGTGTGTGGGTGTGGGTGTGGGTGTGGATGATTGTTTAAGAACAACTCACACCCACACCCACACCCAATACTTCCAATCTTTCTTATTATCTGAGTACTTTTGAAAACAAATAAAATATTTGTAATCAGCGAACTAAGTACTATTGAACTATAAAGACTTGTAATAGAACAGCGACAAAAATTTTTTTTTCAATACCTGAGGAGGATCCCAGGTGTGAAAAATTGGGCTGTGATAAAGTAGAAAATAAAATTATGAAAAATAGTCAGGGTTCAATGCTGATTCTCAAGGTAATAAAATTAGGTTCAGCTTTTTTGAGACCCTCGGTCCGTAATTCGACGCAACTTTTGACGTATTGAAATGAAATTAATGCGTGATAATGAACTAATAAATCAATAATAATCAACTACATGCTTTACTTTATCTTATTTTACTTCATCTTACTTTTTCAGTAAAGTAAAAGATACTTCACTTTACTTTAATTCACTTTAGTTTACTTTGCTGAGTAAAGTAAAGTAAAGTAACTCTACTTTACTTTACTTGATAAAGTAAAGATAAAGTGCCACCCCTAGCGTGCACCTTTTGTTGATATTCAGATTTATTTGCTCTCCATGCTTAATGCAAGTGGATTTTTTTATAATATTATCTTTATTGACAGAGACATAGTATATTCTAACAGACGGCACATTTACACATACATGATTATCTTAGTTTGATTTGAAAGTTAATGAATTTAAAGCCAAATCAACTGGCGAGCAAATATACTTGGATAGAAACTATGTACATATTTACTCTGAGAACATCAACACACGAATTTCTTTTTAATTTTATTCATAAAGGCGTTCTCTCGTCTAGACAACTCTTACAGTATGGCAAAGGAATTTAATTCTGCAGTAGATGTTGTGGGAAAAAACCCACTGTCGCACAAGGGCACAGTAGTATATAAATAGGTGTTTTAAAAATTTTCTCCATTAGCGTTCAAAGTATTCAAAGACGTATATCAAGGTATGCACAACTATTGGGTTGGCAAGAAATTTTTGCGTTTTTTTTTAATCCTCTAAAATATTCGCGAAGCTTTCAGAATTTTTTATAGTTAGGGTATATATATAGGGGGCACGAATATCTTGCGAACAACAACAAAACTACGAGTAAAGAAGCGAGTTTCGAATTAGAAATGGAGATTACTCGTAGAGAGCTCCGAGTGCTTTTACTTCATAAATTTCGTTTTGGGCCGTACAACAACAGAAGCAG